TGACTCCAGGAAGTCACTGCTCCTGGCCAACAAATAAATCCAACAGGTAACTCTTACAAAAATACTATGTTGTTCTTGTGCTTACATTTTTGCATAGCTTAAGAAATTATATAAAGTGCCACTCAGTGAGCCTCAAAGATAATTTTCAGTGGATTTTGTTATCTGTTTTTGTTTCTAAGTAGTCTTTATGCAAAGTTAACCAGCTGCGACCTGAAGCTTTAGATTTACTGCGCAGATATCAGTGTGGTCATTTTCACAGCTAACACTCAGTAAAAAAAAAATTAAAGTGCAAAAATCTTTATCTGTTATTGTACAATTAGCCGAAACACTAGTCTACAAGTTAACAGCAACAACCACAACCAGCTGTGAAGAAACTGAACCTGCATGTTGGCAGGTCGACAGATAGGAGTATTTATAACTATTTTTATTGTCTTAGAGACATTGTACCACACATAACACATACACTAGTCAGCCAGAACATGAAACCACCTGTCTACTATCATGTAGGTCTACTTTGTGCCCTCTGGAGGTGTCCTGCGGTGTCTGGCAGCAGTTCTTTGGGGTCCTGTGGGTCGGGCTTGTTTTAGTGCAGATGGTCAATTAGATTGTGATCTGGTGAGTCTGGAGGTCGCTATTGTCCAGTGCCATTGCCATGGGGAGTGTTGCTTGGACAGCAGTGGTGTTTAGGTGTTATGTGTCAAAGCAACATCCAGGACCCAAAGTTTCAAGTTTTCAACATTGCATTGTAGGGAGACGATCGATCTTATTCAGTTCACCTGTCAGTGGTTTTAATGTTGTGGCAGATTAGTGGTCATACTTGATGCCTATTTAGTGAATCACACATTCACATTGAGACATCTAGATAACACACAATATAAATGATGATATAAATTCTCTGACAAATAGCTGTGTTCACACAAAAACAGCAACCTCTGCACAAACACTTCTTAGCCTTTATTTTTGTTCTTGGACTTTTCAAAGTGTCTCTCCAATCAGTCACACAAGGACTCATTCTCAGGCCAAAGAAAATTGTACGAAATCTGTTTTCAGAGAGTAGCGCTGACCGTTCCTCTCCATATTGTTGGTTATAATGTTCTATAAGTATGGTTTATATCATTTTCTGCTCACTCACTGTGCTGCAGGCTGCTCAGGATAAGAGCATCGGCTCTATACCTAAAATGCCAGTGTAGGTAGCACTGAGTGGTGTTACGCAATGAACACTGGAGTGCTCATCTTTGTGCTCAACACGAGTCCTGGAAACAGAACAATTTAAACAGCAAAAAGCTTAATGCAATATAAAAATGTTCATTTTCCAGCTGGCAAGACATCGAGGTTTCTCTGTTTAATAAAAAGATCTGAAGGGGAAACGAACGGCTTTTAAATCTTTGGGCATATTTGGAAAAGTAATTTGTCGAGTTGTAATCACATTTTATGTTCCTCTACAGTTTTAATATGAACAGTTTGTGTATATTTTAAAGAGTGTAAAAGTGTAATATAGGCCAATACATGATGCTTCTGAATTATTCAAGTGCAGTTTAGTGTAGTTTAGTGTACATATAGGGAAGCAAGTTGGTAATGGAGCAGACTGAGATGTAACTTTCTGCTTAATTGACTTATGAGTCAATCAATAGTACTAATAGTTTCAGTAAAACACAAACAGACAAAGTTGTTTAAAGACTTCTTAATATGGCCACTATATGTGCAAAGGAGGGAACCTGACAGAAGGAAAAGAACTAGTTATTAAATTAGGACCTGTATAGCTAAGTATGTTCTTTAATGGTTACAATGCAGGTTTGCTGTTCCAGTATAATATTTTTTGTGTCATAGTCGTGTCATCTCATTCACAGCATTACCAGTGAATGTCAGAAGAGCAGAGAAATGATTCACTCATATCTGACTAGTGCTGAGTCAAATCTTAATCTATAATTTATGAATCACTTAAGTCACATACAAAGCAAAAATACCCGTCATTAGAGTCTAAATGCTTCATAAATGTGGCAACTTGCTGATTTTCTCTGTTTCTGTGAACCTGTAGGTTGGATCTGTTGGTTGGAGATGACAACACATTTTACACTGAACTCAAGTTTCAGACATTTTTGAATGGCTGATGATTTAATCAAATACAAACTTACAGATAAATTAAAACACATCTTTTTCTGCAGCCCTACATCTTACTGTCAGTCGTGAACACTGACGGTGTGACGGCAGCTGCACATTAAAAAAAAAAGCAGCTCCAACCTTCAGTGTTAGTTGCTGTATGAAGCAGTTCCTTACTCTCCAACATGCTACACATTATGAGATCATTGCAAAAACACACAAATGCCACCGTTTCCAGCAAGACGATACGTTTGATGGTCGAAGCATGCATCAGAGGTCTGCAGAGAGCACCACACATGGGATTAGGTGTGAAATAAACGTACTCAGTGTGCGTCTTTTGAGCTCGAATCATTTTAATTTTTATTCTAGTAGCTGTGAGAACTGTTGAGAGATGGGGGAGGGGTCTTAGCATGTGTGTGCGTTTGTGCATGTGTGTGGTTGTGTGTGTCATCTACTGAGGGAGATGTGTAGTAATGGGGGAGGGGAGCGTAGCACCCAGTCATCGCTTTCTTATGCTCTGATTGGCCAATCGTGTCTTTCTTACCAGAGGCAAGACCTGGCAAAGGCTGACAACAGAGACTTCCCACCGTACCCCCACCCACAGCCACACACACACACACACACACACACACACACGCACACACACACACACACACACACACACACACAGTGCTCTCCTCACCACCACAGCCCGCCCAGGCTGCTGCAGAACGTGTTGTAAAGGTGGAAATGATGTAATGATTTACAACGTGACACCAAAAGCACCAGTTTCCTGCAGCAGGTCTCACCTTTGCGAGCCTGTTCTCTCAGCATGCTCGTCTTTGCTCTGCTGTTTACAGCTTTGTTAACGCTGCTGACCCCTCAGAAGCCAGCGCATGTCTGATGCAAGAAAACATCAGAAGAGACTCCATCCTATTTGCTGCTGAGGGCACATCGCTGCAAGTTGGTGTGTGTTTGTTTGTTGTCTTGTTATGACATCTGGTCTAATTTAGTCTTTTCTTCTCATTCAAGGCTCATCTGGGTAGCCGGGCTGTAGTGGAGGCGACACTGCGTGGAAATGTGTGTGTTCATAGCAACATGAGGACAGTTAGAGTAATAAAACTGCATCACAGCGCAGCAGATGGCTCGAATGAACATCTTATAAAATGTCTTTTAAAATTTTATTTGCTGCATTAGGAGAACCCATCATAAGACATGTAAACATTCCTAAATCTAATATTCAGGTTGTGTTTTAGGGTTTCGAGTGAGTGTCACAGGGATATGGCATCACCTTCTGATCCAGCGGTTTGAAACACCCAACAGATATCGCAGAGAAGGAATATTCTTGCTCCAGCATGCTGAGGTTAATTGGTGATTTTAAATTGTCCGTAGGTGTGAATGTGAGTGTGCTTGGTTGTCTGTCTCTAAGTGTAGGCAACCTGTCCAGGTGTCCCCTGCCTTCATCCTGAGTCAGCTGGGATAGACTCCAGCCCCCCACAACCCTACAGAGGATTAAGCTGTGTATAGATGATGGGTGGATGGATGGGATTACTCTCAAAACAAACTACTTCCCCCAAACACGCCAGCCAACAAACAAACGCACAAGTGATTATAGTTGCTCCAAACATGAACGGCTGCCGTCACAGTGGCTTAAATACTGTTCCCATTTAGGACGATCCTTCCTGGAAGCTATTCATGGCTTCGCGCTGACAGAAATAGTTTTGTAAAGAATGAATAAAGAGAGAAGCTCAAACCTCGCGTCCTCTCTCCCCTCCACACACATGGCCTGTGAATTTTAGATTTCAGTGCTGTGTGAATGTCAGAAAGTTAATTATAGTATAATTGGATGCCACCTCCTGTTTCAATCATCCAACTTTGGCCACTTTGTGTTTGTGTAATGTGGAAGAAATACTAAGTGCATAACCGCTTAGGCCACTTGAAGTGTGTGTTAGATACGTTACATTTAATACCTATGTAGAAATATATAACTACATGATACAACATAACTAGGAGGTTGAAAGAATTCATTATAGAAGATGTATAAGAAAGGCATCGGAGCCTGTGACTTAGCAAGTGAAATGTCAGAGTTAGGTTGATAACTGATGAACTGTTTGTTAGCTCCTTGTCTGTCAGAATCCTCCTGGAAATACCTGCACACGGTGATGAGATTAGCAGATCAGAAATTCTGTGACGCTTTTATGTAAACATGACTTGCAAAAAACAAGACTTGCAGAAACAGGATCGTAGGATAGTTTATGGGAAGACAACCACAGACGAGCGAACAAGCAGAAAGTCAAATGACGACGTGTGAAAACTTGCTTCACACAGACTGATAGAAAAGTCCGTGACGCACAGCACTGAACTTATGAAACACGAGGCTCTTACGCCTCTGGTTTTTTTTTTTTTAATTCACTGCATCGTGTACAATAAACCTGCAAGTGGGGCGAGGATTGCTGACTCTGCTCATTTTCTTCTCAAGCTGTCTGAGTATTAGTTCAGTAAATATGGTAGTGAGGAAAAGGTCCATGACAACAGGCACACAGTGAACAACAACTCGACCAATTAAGGGAAAGAAAAGACAAATGTGTTTGGAACATGGTCGGAAAAAAACGGTAAACACATGGCCTAAAGGTCACACGTGAATAAAGCTGCAGCCGATGGTGAAGAAAACAGTGAAAAGTCGGCAGCACATTCCTCTGGAACACACACACACTCTTGATGTATGGACTTGGTGTCGATTATTTCATGTCTCACTGGGCACCATTTGCCAAATTGTAATATCCCATCAGAAACATTGAACTCAGGAGGAGACGTTCATGTTCTCCTAAACAGGTGAAATAAATCTCTCCAAAAGATGCTATTTAGTGTGATAGACTTGACAGCTACGATGCGTTAAGTCTTTATGGAGCAAAAATAATGAGTGAATTCTATGTGCTTTTAGTAAGTCGAGCCTAATGAAGGGACTAAATCCTTACAGCATTCTAACTGTAAGCAGATATGGAAACCAAGTGCAGCTGGTTTGTAAGAATGCTGTTGATTCTCCCACAATGCAATGCAGAAAACAAGAGGAGTAGTTTCATTTCATTCCTATAACATTTATGAGTCTATAAAATAAACTCCCTCATTTACTCACTACTTCAGCTAGATCTAAAGCTAAGATTTCAGATCTCTCGTCTCTCGTTGTCTTACCCAGATCTGTAGTTTGATCCTCTTGTCATTCCTGTAGATGGTCTTCACCTTGAAGTCGATGCCCACCGTACTGACGAAGGCTGGTGTGAAGGAGTCGTCGGCGTAGCGAAACAGGAAGGAGGTTTTGCCCACGCTGCTGTTGCCGATGATGAGAATTTTGAACATATAGTCAAAGTTCTGGTCCGAAGACTCCTTCTGCCCGTAGGTTGCTGTTGCCGAGGCCATCTGCGGACAGAAACAAACTTTGATCAAATGTCTGAGGTGACCTCAACGTGTGGAGCTGCTTTGTAATAGATGGCAGTAACCTTTTCTGAAATACCAATTAGAAATATCTGTTCGATCCACCCTGAAAACACTTTTTAGAGGGAAGTTTCAAGGTCAGAGTCTCCATGCTGAGATGTGTACTATAGATGTGTGATCCTGTGAGTCGATTTCAATAAAAGATGCACTTTACAGCCTGAATATTTATGGAGAAAATACAAACATCATGAGTATCACAGCAATCAAAATGAGTAGTAAACTGGCAGTCAAATACATGTAGAAGTTATGAGGCAGGTAACGAGAAAGGTGAGGCTACACAGACAAACCAGATGATCCTGTAAGGCTTTAGTGAGGCCAATCTATAGGGTGCATGTCTCAGGAAAATGCAGAGTAGAGCTGCAGTGATTGGTCAATTGCTATGGAATCAATCAGCTTTGATGATTGATTAATTGTTTTAATACATTTTCAAGTAAAAATGTCAAAAAAAGCAAAATAAGCTATTTGAAATATCTTTTTAAATTTCAGCACATTTTCTAAACAACATGATGAACTGATCAATTGATTAAATATTAAGGAGGATGACAAAGAAGTATTGGTGATTTGAGCTAATTTAACCCTGTTCAGGACTTTCATGTCGCCGTACGTAGAAGGTCTTTCAGGCTCCATTGGACCCCAAGAAAGAATATGTGCAAAATATGTGTTGGTATTCATTATAGACTTTTATGCTATGTTTAATACATTTTCTGACAAGATGACATGTTTTTGGTTCCAAATGCATGACAAATGTCCCTCTTTATATATATATATATATATATATATATATATATAAAAAATCTTCAAAAATAAAAACAATACCTGTCACCTAAACCAAATGGCCTGGGGTCCAAAAGACCCCAAAAGTCCCCAAAAGTCCTGAATAGTCCTGAATTGTTAACAACATGTGTATGTAGCATGAACTGCATAGTTTGAACTAGGGCTCAACGATCCTGTTGTGATTCTTTTGACGGATATTGTGATATGAGTCATAACGTTAGTGGAGTATTAGGGTAATTTTTTAAAATTTGTTTTCCACTGAAAAGTCTGTACTCAAACAAGCATGTGTCCTTACACCTGGAGGATATGATTTATAAGCTGGGGCATCTATCTCTATAGCACCACACCTTTTCATTTATAATGGTATTTTGTGTCACATTTTAGCTTTATCAAAAGTTTGAACCCCTGTAGTGTGCTGGGAAGTGAGCCACAAGCTGAGGTACCAGCTCACAGGACACATGCAGTGATAAGGTGTTCGTGAAAGGCATATAAAACCTTCATCTGAGCTCCTAATGTAAATCTGGACAGAATGTTAAATTAATGACCATCTCCTAATAGAAACCAAACAGAGGAAACCGTTAAAAAACAGCAGACGAGCTGTTTCACGCGGGAAAGGTCGTTCATTTAATGAGGGTTTAGACAAAAGATGAGATTCTGTCAGCATCTGTTACACTCAGCATAACAGATGATGGCGATTAACTATTGGGCCTAAATGTTGCACATTTGCTTCATGGAAATTAATCAAAGCGGCATATTGCAATGTCAGGGGAAAACAGAAAACCCATCTGAGTTCTCCTCATCGGTGAAATGTTGGAGGCGATCAGTCACAATGAGCTGTGGGTGTGTGAGGAATAATTCAGCGTGAACCTTATGTTAGTCTGGAGTTTGATATTCGCCAGATGGAAATGTATTTTTACCCATTAGGACCTGATGCAACATATGCGGGTACTGGGGCTTGTGTTTCGAGTCAAAACTGTTGTTAGCAGCCCCAACAAGATAATGAGTATTTTTCTTTCTGTTTTCTTGGAGGCGGATTATGTGAAATGCTGCAAAATTGCAATATCTGGTCTTACACGTACACAAATCACGACTTAAAGTCCAAAGATTAGTAGGCACTGATGATTAAATGATATCAAAACAGATGTTTTAGGAATCAGTTTTATTGGCAGTAAACTGTTTGACGTAGTTGGACGAGATAAAACTGTAATTGTAATTGCTGCAATGTCTTTTTGCACGATATTTTAAACTGCTTGTGTATGTGAATGGAGAACGGCTAAATATTAGGAATTATTTTAAATGTAATGCAACCCAGCACATTGCTACCACTCACTATGGCTTCAATAATCAACAAGTAGAATCATCATCTTTTTGACGTCACCAAAGACTGAAAATGTAGAAGCTTCATAAAAGCAGAATTTATGGCAGAGCTGATGAAAACTTTGCATTAGATTTTATAGGTGCTCCTAATAAAATGGTCAGTGAATGTTTATAGGATTACCCCTTAACCCCATGATCTATATATTACATACACTGTGAAGCGGCACAACTGGTGAACTCCCTCAGGACTCTGTTTTGAAGTGATGCCTATTGAAACACTAAAACCATGTTTAATATACTTTATCTCTCATTTTTAAAGTTTTCCAGCACTAAACATCTTTAGAAAAACAGAAAAAAAATACTACAGGTCAATTACTTTCTGGGAAATTAGTTGAAATTGCTTCATAAGAGGGAGGCAGGGGCTCAGTGGGAGAAAGCGTTGCAATGATGCCAAGCGTAGGGAGTGGAGATATGCAGCATTTATCTGCATTCAGCCGTGAATAAGCACAAGTAGACATTTTCAAATAGATGTTGCAATTTAACAACCGTGGGCCGATGGCTAATGGATTAAAGTCAGTATCTCTGTCTTGATACCATTATTTATGGTGGTTTGTCTCTGAATATTCCCCTAACACATGACTTCAGGAGTTTCTTTGCCGTGTGCCTGATCAACAAAAACATGGCGCCACCACCTGATGGAAGCTGACCGGTCAAGTCCAGAGAGATCTTTCTGCAATTGCTGATGATGAGCTCTTCATGGCAGGAGTGTCATGCTTTCAGCTTAAGTTACAGTCTATTAAAGATGTAGCCTGACATCTACACCTACAGCGACACCACAGAGAAGTAAGTATATGACAGTGGTAACTTTAGATTTAGCCGACACACTCAACATACAAGCATGGTAGGTAGTTTTCTCAAATGAAAGGCTACGCCAATGGATCTGCTAAGCTATGAAGTTTGCTACAACAGCCATGTGCGTTTAGTGTCAGTCGGACTCGGATTTAAACTGAATTAATTATTTTGGAAAGCTGTAGGATCCTCTAATTCATTGTCCTGTTCAGCATCACCAGACTACTACTGTTTAGCACACGCACAGCAAGATGCAGACCAGTTTGAGCTTCAGTAAAAGCCTGTTTAAATTAAACATATAGCACACTTAGCATAACTGTTGGTCAGTGTTATTCTGCTTTTATCAGGAGGGTGAAGAATCGTGATCGTGAAGGGGGAGAGAGTTTATATAATAATGTGCCGTTCTGGTGGAAACTGCAGTGACAACTTTTATTTTGAAGGACTAAAACTGTCTCACTGACAAAAAGTCAAATTGGATAAAAAAAAACAAAAAAACCCCAAATGCAAATTTTCCTTAAACTGCCTTAGACTCTGAGCCTGAGGCCCGATGTTAACTCATGCGACACATTCAATCAGCAATGGCCAAAATGTACAACACCAAACCCCCCATCGCTTATTTCTACAAATGATTTCTGACGCTGAATGATGTCCTCAAAAATACCAAAAAGAAGAAAGAAATGAAGTTATACCATTCAGAGAAAGCAAGAAGAAAAAAAAAACATGTAGCCACAGATGGGAAGAGGACGATATGAATCTTCAGTTTACTACAGTGATTTTCAATGCGCAAATTATTCAACAAAAATATTAAAATAAGCTCATTGCAGCTTATAAATGTAATATATATATAAATGTACTCTGATGGCAGCCATTTGGGAAATCAGACAGTGGATCCCAAACTGAGAACACGCAGCTAAACATTCGGACACAATAGAAATCCAACAAACGGCTGCTGGACTCAACATTTGCTGGTATGTAAAATGCACTAAGTAGCGCTGGCCGACAAGGATTCAAGGCTACAAAACCCAAAAGAATTCAGGAAACCTTGTCGACTCTTGAGAGCACAATGACTTTAGCCCACAGGACTCAGAGTCCCTGCGCCCGGCTCTATATTTAGACTGTTATCTCGGCTCGGCTGCAGTGGAACACTAGAACTCTCAGGGAATAAAGAACAAACAAAACAACTGCACCCTCCTTGCAGCTCGGGCCTATCGGCTTACACGAAGGAACAGAGAGATGCTTGTTAAATAATGAAGAGGCACCGACCCTTCCTCAACACATTGATGGTTTGTTATGCAAAGTGGGGCTGAGCAGGTGGTGCGAGATGGGATTTAAAGCGAAACGGAACTGAAGCGAGGTTCATAGATGCAGAAATCGCTCCGAAAACTGCTGATAATCTCCGGTCTAATTTGTGCAAACAGGATTCTTCTGCAGCGGCCGCCTGCCTGTCGATTTCTATTTACTTGATGATATCTTCTGCTCTGCCTGTGACGTCAGTAATTCCTCGCAAATCTGCAGCTATGGAGCTCCTGTGCATCCTCCAAGTCCACATGAATTACAGCGAACATGTTACATAATTAGTTTGCTCCATAAATAAGACGCTCCGAAAAGAAGACTTATCGAAAAATGATCATGGCTATAAACGGAGTGTTGTACAGGATGTTGTGAGTCACAGATAAAGGAATTTAACACCAATGTTCACAGTGTACCTTGTTTTGACAGCATTTTTATATGAGACCCCATTATTAGCTCAAATTTTGAGATTTAAAAATATTTGCTGTGCTAATTGATTCCAGCCACCCATCCATCCATCCATCATCTATACACCGCTTAATCCTCACAAGGGTCATGGGGGGCTGGAGTTTATCCCAGCTGACTCAGGGTGAAGGCAGGTTCACCTGGACAGGTCATCAGTCTATCACAGGGCTACAGTTAGAGACAGACAACCAAGCACACTCACATTCACACCTACGGACAATTTAGAATCACCAATTAACCTCAACATGTTTTTGGACTGTGTGGGAAGAAGCCGGAGAACTCGGAGAGAACCCACGCTGCACGGGGAGAACATAGAGAAAGATCTCGGTGTCCCCACTAGGACGTGAACCGGCGACCTTCTTGCTGCGAGGAAACGGTGCTAACCATCGAGCCACCTTGCAAACCCGAATTGATTCCCTCTTAGTAAAGTCTAAACTAAATGCAAGTTGCCA